ATCTTAAAATATTGGAAAATATTTTAAAATACGCACACATCTGTGTTAAATTATTATTGTCTTATTATAAGTGTTTTTTTTCTTTAGCAATTGTGTATATTCTCTGTCAAAATAAAGATTGTCTGTAAAATATTTTAAAATGCACAGAACAAAATATCAAACAAATAAATAAATAAAACACTTGATATAGTGATTTTAATTGCTCTACTAGCTTGTCATGCCTACTGTTTTCCTGAAATGACTTATCTTGATATTTTGGAAGGCCAGTTTCCAAAAAGAGAATTCAGTTGTGACTTAGCAACCTCACAAAGGTAAGGCAAAATCACATCACAAATGTGCCTACTTGAAACTATGGACACCTTGCATTTTTCAAGATACCACAAGCAATCAGCTCTGATCACTGTGTCAGTAGCTTGACCACATCTTAACTACAGTTTCTTCACTTAAAAATGGGGAAATAGGGAAGCAAAGAAAAATTTCACAACCTTAGAGTTTTGTTTGGTTATTTTAAAGCAGGGACCTCAGTCAACTCATTGCAACTCACATGAAGGAATTTTAATTGTCTGCAGAATGCTAATAAAGGAAGGGGAAGAAATTGAAACTTTGAATATGATGACATGTGTTTTTGAAGCTTAGTCCAACACCATGTCTATTCTGAACACCATAGAAAAGACAGTAAATAAATAAAAGAAATAGAGGACAGATGAAATCTTCAAAATAATAAAAACAGTAAACCAAATAATCACCACAAAAATCTATAATAATAATAATAATAATAATAATAATAGAGTAATACGCTAATTAGGCCAAACATCCTTCCTGAGTAAGCCTTAGCAGGAGGGAAGGTAGCCAGGGTCCTGGGTGCCTGCAGGTGGCCTGAGGGAAGCCAGCTGGGTTCCCAGGTGCCTGAGTGGCCCAGGGGAATCCAACCAGGGGCCCCTGTGCCTGCCGATGGCCAGAGGAGGGAAGCCTGGGACCTGGGTGCCAGAGAGAAGCCGGTGTCAGCAGCCAGGGAAGGAAGGCCTACTCTTGCATGAATTTTCATGCATCGGGCTTCAAGTTAATAATAATCAGCTCAGGCTGAAACTGGTAACTGTCTCCTCAATGTAGTAACCCCTCACTTGTTATCCCTACCAACAAAATAGACTTAAAAATCATTTGAGCCCTAATCAGTTTGGCTCAGTGGATTGAGCATCTGTCTGTGGACTGAAGGGTCACAGGTTCAATTCCAGTCAAGGGCATGTATCTTGGTTGCAGGCACATCCCCAGTGGAGGTGTGCAGGAGGCATTGATTGATGTTTCTTTTTTTCTTTTTCTTTTTTTTAACATATTTTATTAATTTTTTTACAGAGAGGAAGAGAGAGAGATAGAGAGTTAGAAACATCGATGAGAGAGAAACATCGATCAGCCGCCTCCTGTACACCCCTTACTGGGGATATGCCTGCAACCAAGGTACATGCCCTTGATCGGAATGGAACCTGGGACCCTTCAGTCCATAGGCTGATGCTCTATCCACTGAGCCAAACCGGGTTCAGCTGATCAATGTTTCTAACTCTCTATCCCTCTCCCTTCCTCTCTGTAAAAATCAATAAAAAATATTTTTTTTTAAAATCATTTGAGCCCCATTAATAGTGGACTCTGCAACCTCACCTTTGAATAAAAAGTTTCAATGTATATTTGCATTATTCTTAATTACAAAAGCAGGATACAGTTTGATTATAGGGGTCATATTTCTACAAGCCATTACAGTTTCAATTAATAATGATTAAAATTACACTTTAATATTCTTGGATTTCTGGAATTCTAAGAAATCAGGTTTCTAACTTGTAGAATAGTGCATATTACTAGGCAAGCCTATATAATTTAGGAAAGCATGAAAAATGTGCATCATTTTCAAGGCATATTCAAAGCACACTACTTTCTTTCTTACAACTTGAACTGTCCTGTTTCTCACTTGTATTCCCTACATTGGCAATAACTAAAATAACACCACTCTTAATTTTGAAAATGCTGAAATTAATATTAGCTAGTTTAGGTTACAAAAGGGAAAAGTCCGATAATATATACCAAAAGAAAACATGGCTTAGATTTTAGGTCAATTTGACCAAAAAAAAAAAACCACCTTCATCCCACAGGCCGACACTCCATCCACTGAGCCAAATTAATAAGAGCCCCCTTTCTTTTTAATAAGGAAATATGTTCAAGGGAATCCAATCGAGATCTTAGCTAGCTGACTGTTAGCTCACAAGTGCTCTGTTATTAGTTCATACTCTACATAGTGCCCAGATTTTTATTTTACATTTGATATTTCAATACCTACAATGTCTTCATCTTAATGAATATTATTTCTCTACTTTTATTTAATAAGTAAAGTTTAAAATCTCTCATAAACTTATACAACATTGTTCTTATTAGACTCCTTGGTATTATATACTCCTATTTCCATCTTTCACAATTTTCATGGTATTTTAAGCCAATTTTAATATAAATTTTAATACAAGCAACACTTAATCTATGCCACTCCTTCATTCAACAAAAATTTAAGCTGTATGTTCATGTTCTAAGCACTTTGCTAGGTGCTGGCACTATAATCATATTCTGACATCTTACTTTTACAATGCAGTTTGTCAAAGTAACCTGCTTATCCATTTTTCTAATTTATTTTGTGTGTAGTATTTAAAATTATACTTGTGTAAATGCCTTTTCCTGAAGATTCTAAATACATTCACATAGTTGCCTAGCCCTTTTTAATGGAAAATACCACTTTTTTCTTTGTTTGCCATAATCCAGCAATGATTTCTGCTATTGAATTTCTATCACTGAATTTCCCATCTTCCTTCAACCTGCCTTTAAAACCAACATGGTCAACTAGGGCTAGAGATATGGTAGAGAGAACAAATATTAGCTAACATAACAGCAATATCTATCAATATTGTAACCTTAACTAAATGCGGCAAACTAATCCCTTCCCATTTTCTTAGCTACTTCATGAGATACATATTATTTTTCACATCACATGAGAAAATTAGACTTGGAACCCTATATGACTTGTTTAAATGCATACAACTACTAAGAGGTAGAAGCAGGATTTGAATCCAGGTCTGATAGATCCCCAAGTCTATTATTAGACACTATGCTTGATAACCATTATCAATCTCTCCATTATATTCAGTAAACAAGAAATGGCTAGGAAATATTCTATTCTCTGAACAGGGATAAAAGGAACTTTTTCAAAAAATAAACTTATTGGGTAACATTGGTTAATAATATATACTTTTCGGGTGTATAAGATTAAAATTCAACATCTGAGACTAATATCCAAAAAATATAAATAGCTCACACAACTCAGTAACAACAAAACAATATGACTAAAAATTAAGAAGAGAACATAGGGATGCATATATTATTTGATTGATATTTTAGGATTCTTAGGATATATTTTTAGAAGTGGGATCACTGGGTCAAATGGCAGTTCTATTTTTAATGTTTTGAGGAAACCCCACACTGTTTTCCATAGTAGCTGCAGCAGCCTGCATTCCCATCTGCAGTGTACTAGGGCTCCCTTTTCTCCAATAGCTAGGATGTGTTAACAGCCCAAATTCCCATCAGTAAATGAATGGATAAAAATGTGTGACACATTTACACAATGGAATACTATGCAATTGCGAAAAAGAAGGATCTCACCCTTTGAGACAGCATGGAGAGTATTATGCTATGCAAAATACACCACTCAGAGAAAGACAATTACCACAGGACCTCACTTATATATGGAATCTAATGAACAAGATAAACTGACAAAATAGATCCAGAGATTTTGGAAGCATGGAGTGGACTGATGAATCTCAGAGGGAAGGGGGGAGGGTGGGTCAGGAAAAGATTAACCAAAGAACTTATATGTATACATGCATCACCCATGGTCACAGACAAGAGTGTGGTGAAGGCCTGTGGGGATGGGAGTTAATGGGTGGGGGAAGGGGGACATCTCTAATACTTTTAACAATAAAAATTTTTTAAAAATTTAATTGGGAAGAGAGCCTGAATAGACACTTTTCCAAGGAACATGAACAGATGGCCAACAGACATGTGAAAAGATGTTTAACATTACTGGTTATAAGGGAAATGCAAATCAAAACCACAATGGGATACCACTTCACACCCCTTAGAATGGCTGTTATAAAAAAGACAAGAAATAAAAAGTGTCAGCAAGAATGTGGAAAGAGGAACCCTCAGCCCTAACCGGTTTGGCTCAGGGGATAAAGCCTCAGCCTGCGGACTGGAAGGTCCCAGGTTCGATTCCTGTCAAGGGCTCGTGCCTTGGTTGCAGGCACATCCCCAGAAGAGGATGTGCAGGAGGCAGCTGATCGATGTTTCTCTCTCATTAATGTTTCTAACTCTCTATCCCTTTCCCTTCCTCTCTGTAAAAAAAAAAAAAAAAAAAAAATCAATAATTTTTTTTTTTTTAAGAGGAATCCTCAGACACTGCTGGTAGGGATGTAATTGGTGCAGCCTTTATTCAAACAGTGCAGAGGTTTCTCAAAAACTTTAGAATAGATTTCTTTTTTGATCCTCCATTCTCTGCCAGGTATTGTGAATGGCATCCTTTCCCCAAAACAGCCCAATGGTTGTGGGTGATAGGATCCCCCGATGGCAGGTAGAGGAGCCGGGCATCAAACCCAAGTGTGAATGTCTCTCCAACTCTCCTGAGACCGCCCTTGCCCAGGGCCCTGGCAGAGCCAGAACGGCAAGTGAGTGAAATCTCCACCAGAGGAGCGCAGCAGTGCTGCACAGAGCAACAGCCTCAGTGCTCCAACTGGCTCTTCTAACGGCGCAGGCAGTGTTAGAGGATGAGGTAATTTTTTCATGGAAAAAATTATTAGTGATTTGGGTTTCAAGTTTGCAAGGGTTTGCTTTTTAACTGCCATCAAGTCAAGAGAGGCCATAAAGAGAGCAAGTTACGTAAGAAACAGATTCAACAACAACAATAATAATAATGTGATTACCTGCAGAAACCTAGGGAGAAGGTGGTTTGATTCAATGCCAACATAAATGTGCAGCAACTCCAAGAGGGAGATAGATTGGCAAAGTTGCATCACAAGTCCAATAGCATAAAAAGTGTCAACCATTGAATCTGCGTCAGGGAAATTAAAAATACAGATATAGTCAAAATGAGAGCACAACACACATCTCTGCAGCACGTTTAAACAAAATTGAGATTCTTTACAAATAGACGATTACATAATTAAGACTATGCCAACTGAAGAAAGTGCTTCATGTTATATTTTAATGGCTTCTCTTCCACAAAGAAGTAAAACTTGAAAAAGAAGGCACCATGGCCGAAGCGATAGCATTTATTTCCCACATATGAGATTATAAAGCAACTCCCACATAAAGGTAACCAGCTACAGACTACATCAAACAGACTGGTTGGAGGTGAGCTTATTAAAGAATCAGCTGTGCTCACAGCTTTTCCATTGACAAGAAAATGGGAAATGAGAAAAATAGGATTTCAGAGGAGCTTTATAGAAATGACATTAATGATGTCATACCAGATAACATCTATGTGTATTCAGTATGTATGTCCTATACATACTTAATGTTCTCTGGATTTTTGTTAGGGGTTTTTTTATTGCGTGTATTTTGGTGACATTGGTTAAGAACATCAGTTTCAGGTGTACATCTTTCTAGCATGATGCCAGCATACCCTGTTGTGTGTCCACCACTGAAGTCTAATCTCCTCCCATCACCAGGTGTTTGGTCCCCTTTACCCTCTTCATCCTGTCCCCAACCTCTTCCATCTTTGTTAGTTTGAAGCACCGGACCTTGGACCTCTGGTGGGGACCTTTGGAATCTGCATTGCAGAGGGCCCAAATAAAAAGCCCAATTTGGAGAAAGCTGAGAAGGGAGGGGAAATGTTCCTCTAAATAGGACAAATATGGTGGTTTAGATTTTAAAATGAAATCCTGCCATGTTAAGAAACTTCCATAGGAGATGCTGCACTCTTTACTGCCTAGCCATCATAAATTATCACAGAGCACTAAGGGTTTCTCATCTCAGCAGCTCAATGAAGTGGACACGGTTCATATCCTCTCCATTTCACAGGCGAGTTCTGAGGCCTGGACGGTCCTTCTCGTACCCGCCAGCCTACACTGGCTGCGATCTGGCCTCATCAATTCCACAGCTCCGCGGAGGAGGGAGGAAGCAGGTGGTGCTTGTCTGGGTGATTAGATTACTCTAAGCTGCTTGCTTGATTTATACAATGATTCAAGAATTATCCTGAACCCCCGCTTAGCCATTTTCATTCTGCTTTCCATATGTTTGTGTTCCTTTAATAGCAGCTTTTATAACTATAACGGTGGGATAAAAATTAAGTAATAAACAGACGGCTGATAATAAATAGGCAGCATAAGAAAAAGTTCATTGCTTGGGACTTGTGCTGTGAATGGCCTGTGAGATGCCCACAAAGCACAAGCCACAGCCGGCTTCCAAAGCCTAGAAGTGATGGGTGTGTGTGTGTGTGTTTCTAAAAAGAAAAAGGAGTTTTCTCTGCTTAAAGTCCCCCAACACTCAGTTGAAATTAAGACAAGAATTTTTCTGCAGATTTGCAGTACCAAAAAATATAGCAATATAAAATAGTTTATGGTACCTCAAAGGTTAATTAAGTTCCTGATGATACAGCAGTTGGGACTGATGAGCACAGCGTGACTTTTCCCAGATATAGTCTATACCTTTGGTTTTTTTAGCTGAGATGAGCAGTTGCTCAAATTGTCAAGTCACCAAACAGTTGTAAACTGTGATGACACTTACCCATGTGGGGAGGAATGCCAATGTTATTTTCATAGTCTTTTTTTTTTTTTTAAATTGAAATGCTATTTTGAAATCTTTACTTTTAGGAACCTGGAAGAAGCTTATGATTTAAACTATTAAAGCCAACTCCCATATGGGGAATGAGTCACCTACAAGTGTGTGGTTTTCTTAGGGACACACTAATCCTTAAGGGGATCAAATAAAGACCTGAGGAATATAAAGCTTCTCTTTTATTTGTCAGTAGAGTTACCTTAAACCTGGGGAAGAAAGACTAAGGAAAGAACTTGGTTAATTTCTGATTTCTCTACACAAAATGTAATACGTACTGAAATTTACATATTTTCTCAAAGCCCACCAAATTTGCTAAGGTTGGTACAGAACCAAAAAGGAAGAGAGATGGCACCATCCCGATGCCAGGACTAGATTTCAGGGCAAACTGCCCACTCAGGGGGAAGCCAAATCCCTTTTCCTCGTCTTACCCTCTTCTCCAACACGTTTTTGTTTTTTGCACTGCTTTGCACAAGCAAGGAGTATGTTTTCTGAAAACTGTGGTCACTAAGTTTAGAGGAGTAAAGGATTTTAGGTAAATCCATAGACCAAAAAATAAATGTAAGTGAGCTAGGCACAAACAAGGATTAAAAGGTAAAAATCAAAAAGTGCCTTCGAGTTTTACCTTTTCCAAAGGAAAAGAATCTGGCTGTCATGTTAGTAAATATCCATGAGTGGCCACAGAACTGGATTAAGTAGTAGATGAAAAGATAGGCATTCTTCCTGTTCCTAAAAATACAGAAAAATACCATTAAACACTTCCTTTATAACCATCCCGTAATACACATGACCCGGAACTCACCTACTGGCCAACCTGAGCAGACAAGAGAAAAATTACTCCCTATCTAATTTTATTTGGTTTACCCCTCTAAGGCACACCAGAGTTCGAAAGGACCACTAACGAGTACCCCGAGTTGCTTAAAGCGAAAAGATGGTTCTATTTCAAAATCCACCTCATCTTTGATAAAGTGCTAACTTGTTGCTCACCAAGGGGTAAAAGCAGGCATCCCAGATGCTGCCTTAGAGGGCTGGGAGGCGGTGGAGCGTAGGAAGGGGTGGATGGGGTTGGTCAATATGAGATGCACCTGCAGAGGTAACTGGTTTACAGTTACAAGAGGGGAGCGGCGATGGCGGCCTTCCCAAACGGTGGGAACTGGGCACTCAGTAACTGGGCACGCCTGGCTTGGATGCACTGTGATCAGTTAGGGTCAGTATCTCTCCGCTGCCTCCTATGTTGCAAGAGCAGATGTTTCCTTCAGACACACACAGAGGCCGTTCTGTGGCTCGGCCAGAAAAGGGAAGTCCAGCTGCTGCTTTGCTGGAGAGAGGAGCCGGCGGTGACTGCCGGATGGGCCCAGAGGGAGGCCAGGCCAGCGCGGTGTGGAGTGTCCCCCGGGGGTTCAGGAGGGGAGTGGGGAGTGCCCTGTCCGCGGGGACAAGGCTTTCTCCTCGCTGGGGACGTGAAACCCCTGAAAAGTGAGGCAAGTGGGCTAGGAAGCAGACAGAGTAGCTTTAAGTTTCCTTGGGGCGCCCCGCTGCTGGAGGGGAGAGGAGGGCGCCTCCTTAATCCGCAGGGACCCCCCTGGAGGCGCGGGGCTGGGCTCGGGGTGGTGCACGGGGGCCTCGGCGGCGGCGGCTGCAGGTGGGTCTGCTTTGCACCCGCAACACGCTCAAGTCAGGGCCCCCGGTGGGAGGGTGGGGAGGGGAAAAGAGGACCGGCAGAGAGTTAAAATGTAGAGGTGGCCGCCCGTCCCCCTATTTCCTGGTCTGTAAAATGGGGGGATCACAGAGCCTATTTCCAGGGCTGTCAGAGGCCGAGCTAGCTGATGCCCGTGCAGAGCTCCAGGCTGTGGGCGCAGGACGGCGTGGCTCAGCCGGTGCCCGCCTGGCCCTGGAAGCGGTGGTGGGGGGTGGGGGGAGAAACCAGCCCTGGGAGCGGGGGGGGGGGTGCCCCGGAGGCCCCGCCCCCTGCACCCCTGCACCCTCTCCCGCCCGCCCCGCCGAGCGCCTACCTGGGCTGCAGCCAGGCGGGCAGCGCCATGGGCCCCGGGGGACCGCCGCCAGCCTCCGGCCGTCCGTCCGGGAGGAGCGCGGGGCGGGAGCGCGGGAGGGGCGGCCGCTGCGGAAGGGCGGGGCCTCTCCACAATCAGCAATTTACAAAAGAAAGAAAAGAAAGAAAAACACCAAAGCCCGACGTTGTGCAATGAGCTCGAGCTCCAACCAAGTTCCTCAAGTGGCGCCGGCGGCCAGCGCTGCACCGCGGGTGACCCCCCTCCTGCGGAGCCCGGACCTGCCCGGCCGCCCCGCGCTCCCGCGGGTTCCCGCAGCCCCTGCAGGGCGTCCTCACCTCCGGGACGAGGATCCGGTGCAGCCTGGTGGAAAGGAAGGGCCCTCCCACTTGGCCATTACAAGCCTCCCGGGGTGCGTCGGCCGCGGGTGAGCGCCTCGCATGGCCCTCACCTGGGAGGCAGTGCACCTGCGAGGCGGTTTGGCAGGAAGGCTGTGGCCCCATCTATCAGAACGCCTTCTTTTCCCCTCCCGTGAGGCATCCTGGCCTCTGACTTCCTCTGGGTCCTCACTGAAGCTTGCAAATTCTTTTACATATTCATACTCACGTGTGTTCGCCTCATCCTTTGCTGAGATCCGGACTATCTGCCAGGTTCTATGCCCTCAAAGGGAAGCATCCCCAAATAAATAGAATCTATTTGATAGATGATGGATAGATAGACGAGAAAGTAGTTAAGAAGGCACTTCCAAGAAAGGGAGACAGTATCACCCAGTTTGGGGAGTGGGAAGGTAATACCCCTGTTTTACCTAAAGGGAAGTTGAGGCTTTGACAATTGTTAAGTCACTTGCCACAAGTCACATGACTGATAAGTGGCAGTATTAGAATGTCAAGGTCGAGTTTGATGGTTGTTCTCTCCATTAGGCCATAGGCCCCTTCCTCATAGTCCGCTCTGCCCTCTCACCTCATAGCCCTCCTCTCACCTGTGGATTGGTCTGCACAGTCACCCACACTGCCCTCTGCAGGGTTCCTACTCCCCTGCGTTAACCAGTTCCTCCCAAAGTCACTGCATCAGTTATCCCCCTGGCACTGCCTCTTCCCTCATCTTCATCCTCCCTTTCCACTGGCTTTCACCACAGTTTAGCAGCATACTCAAATCTCCCCTGCGCAAGAATTAAACATTTTATTCTTTCTGCTTCTCTCTTCATATAATTTTCTCTCTTCTTTTTCTAATAACTACCTGACTGCTTTCTCTCAAGATCAGATGCTTCTTTCATTTCTTTTTTTCTTTTTTAAATCCTCACCTGAGGATATTTTCCCATTGTGTGTGTTTTTTGTTTTGTTTTTTGTTTTGTTTTAGAGAATGGAAGGAAGGGAGGAGGAGGAGAGAGAGAGACATGTCCTTTAATTGCCTCCCCCAGGAACCCTGATCCTGGTGGAGGACAGAGCCTGCAACTGAAGTATGTGCCCTTGACTGAGAATCGAACCCCTGACCCTTTGGTCCAAGGGCTGACACTCCAACCACTGAGCCAAACAGGCCAGGGCTACTTCTTTCATTTCTCAACTATCTTCCTGTTTCATAACACCTTGCAGTTTCCTTCCCAGTACTCCCGAAACTGCTCTCTCAGGGAGCTGCCCTAATTCCTAGGGCATTCTCATGAAACTATTAAGTTGGTGGAGAACCCTTCCACCAACTTAATAGTTTCATGCGCTTGGCAAGTTAACTTCTCTGTGCCAATTTCCTGATCTCTAACGTGAATATTATCACATATGGTTGTAAAGATTAGTGACCAGACAGGAAATGTTCAATCAATGTTTATTGCTATCACCGGAGGAGCAGTAGCATTATCATCACTGTTATTGGGGGGAAGGGAGTGCGGGGGGGGGAGGGGGGGAGGTAGGGGAAGGGCTAGTTGCCACTGTAGCATACTCCTTTCTAGGGTTTTATCCTCTGGGAACGAAAGTATGTTGTAGAGACCTGTGGGTGAATATTGAAGGCAGTCACGATATTTTTAAATCCTTCTTTGGGACAGTATGCTTTGGAATCTGTCTAACTGAGGCCACTGTGGAAACCAATAGTTGATGAATAGTAACATTACTAGGAGTCAGGAATGGGCAGTGGGCAGGCTGATGTTTTTGGAGAACCAATGATGCAGGAACTATACTAGTTGATGCTCTACTGTGTGTGAGCCAGGCCAGCATTTTTTGAAGGAGAAAGTGAATTGTGATGGGAACCATTAAAATGAGTGGAAAACAAATTATTGTATAATGTTAAAGATAATAATAGTTCTTCTATGTTTGCATAGCATTTTTATATACATTATCATCTTACAGACTCAATGTGGAATAATTATATGATCCTTATTCTATGGGTAAGGAGGGAATCTCAGAAAGATTGAAAGTACCCAAGATCACATAAGTGAAAGAGGCAGTGTTAGGGGGTGAAGGAGTTACAAGATTTGAGGGACTATGCTCTAAACTGGAGATGACAAAGAGGGGTCTTCCCCAATCAATTGATGTTAGTCGTCTGGAGGGAGGAGGATGCTAGGCCTCACCCAGGTCAGGTGGCCAGAGCACTGTCGTTACCAGCAATGACTGCCGCGAGTGGGGAGGGGAGTGCCATCCCCGTGTACACATTATGAAACCCTAGGTCCTTTGCTTGAGCATGATGAAGCAGCTTTTAAGTCTGGTGTATGAAGGGAGATTACTGGTAAACAAGATAGGTGACCCCAAGCTATAAAGAAGGTAGGGAGAATTACATAGTGCTTTCTATACGTACTGTTTTATAACCTACTGTTATAAAATAGATTTTTGAAACAAAAATACCACTCCTTCTGTTTTCTTTCTTTCCTTCTTTCTTTGTTTCTATCCTCCTTCCTTCCTTCTCTTCCTCCCTCTTTCCTCCCCTCACTCCCTCCCTCATTCCCTTCCCTCATTTTCTTCCTTACTTTTTAGGCCTGGACAGATGGAATAACCTGAAAGATTATTACGGATAGTGATTTCCTACTGAACTTCTAACTGTGGCCTTGGGGAGGAAGTCTGATAACCCCTAAGCATCTCTTGGTGGAGGAGGAGCCTGCGAGTGTGGGATGGCAGCATCTTTCAGAGGGATTGTGAGAGACCACACACGTACATAGGAAACTTCACCTCAAATACAAAATGACATGACGATCCTAAACTGAGCGGTCCTAATTGCAGGGCAAGTCAGCACCTGCCTCGCCATGAATGAAAAAGGGAACCACCGTCTCTCTGTACGTTAACTGCCCTCCTCGAACACGGTATGCGGGTTTGCCTTTGCTTAGCCAGCAGTGGAAACCTACTTCCCCTCTCTGTTGTCTTGAAAATGACAACCACATGTTGTCCCATTCTTTCCTCTCAGTTTTATTTTCCAGGTCTTAACTCATGATTGCCCTCTGGGTTTTTTTTTAAGGGTAAGGGAGTGTTTTCAATTGAAACAGGAGTTCCTGCCAAAATGAAAGAACATGAAAAACATGACTCTTCATCACATACTTGGTAAATCCCCTGCTCTCCATTTGAAATTCACTAGTTGGGAGTTGGATTACAAGAGCACTTTCAAGTGCTGTTTGACAGAGAAGAAGGAAACACACTCCCTGTTTTTCTAAAATCGCCGGCAAACTTTGGGCAAGCCTGAGTATTACAACTGTTTAAATACCATTTATTGAGGAAGATTTTTGAACGAACATGGGTAAAGAATCTACTGAGAGAAACACTTTAATTAAATGATTGCTTAACTACTATTAAAAGGTGAGCTGACTTCATTAGAGTTTTCTAAGTGGTGGTTACTGCTAAACACTTTAAAACACATTGTTTTCACTAATGACAAGAAAAGATGACTCTCAAGTTCTTATATATTAAGAATTCCTTTGATGGTACCCAGGAAATTATGATTGTAGAATCATGTCTTCTTTCTCCCATTAATTCCTTCTTTCCTACTTAGCATCAACATGAGCATCTATTTGTATTTAACATAATGAAGACATGCAGATATATACTAAAACTTCAGCTTTCTTCTTTTCAATCTTACATATATATTCTCTTACTACTAGAGCTTCAGCTGTGTCTGAGTAGAGGGGAGTAATCAATATAGTCATTAATAACAATACCTCACATTTATCTCTGTATCAGGAATTGTGCCAGACATAACATCTCATACCTTAAATCTTAAGAGATCATTTTATTAGCCACTATTAAAGTGATAAAGCTGAACCTCAGAAAGGTTAAGAAATTTGTTCAAGGTCACAATTTAATTGTGTTGATTTATAAACACAAGGTTTTAAATATAGATATATTTTGCTTCAGGTATAATCAAACCCAGCAGAAAAACTTCTTTACATTCAACCATAAAAGTGTGAGTGGGAAATTATGTTTTAAAACTACATCAAGGTATAAAATAATACCATTATGTGATTCTCAGAAGTTAAACTGGAGCTTATAACTGTATCCAGCGGAGCTGGTTTTCATGGTACCGATTGCTTTGCTGTCAGACACAGTGCAGTACATGGAATGTCAAGATGCAGCCAGAACAAATCACTCGTTAGGGTTGTGAAAAGATTGGAGACGATATGTTTTCTCTTCAAAACTGAGATCACTTTATTGCTATTAAATAATTATAAAAGCCATGATCTAGTATGTTTTGAATGTGTTAAACATTCAGGAAAAGTACAAAGAAGAAAATAAACCTATCATTCAGAGATGCTTACTTCACTATTTCATTTACAGCTCACTACTTACATAATCCCAGGCTTTAGTCTATGCCTTTATATACATATATATTTTTTCTCAAGAAAATGGGGTTACAGTTTGTATATTTTTTTAAAATGTATCTTTGCTAGTTAATAGTATGTTGGCTATAGAATACTCTCTAAATCAATACATAGTGACCTAACATAATTGTTTTTAATGGATATATAGTATTCCATTTTGAAATGATAGCATAACTTATTTTCTATGGTTAGAAATTTATATTTACTCCCAAGTTTTAGGTATTACAAAGTCTGCACCAAAAGACATCCTTG